ACACACACACACACACACACACACACACACACACACACACACACACAAAAAGGTCCTGCAGATGTGTAAGCACCCCCTATCGCTGTAGCTTGTATACTCTTACATACACACACACACACACACACACACACCATCTTAACTAAGGCTCATCCAATTAAGCAGTCTGTTGGAACAACAAACAAGACACTGCGCCCTTGCCTAAGTTTGTGTGTGTGTGTGTGTGTGTGTGTGTGTGTGTGTGTGTGTGTGTGTGAGAGAGAGAGAGAAAGCACGGGGTTGGAGATTGGAAAATCCGTGGCAACAGCAGCTAAGCTGCACATCTTATTTCATCGACTTCCTTTCAGAGAGGAAACATGACATTGTAAAGGTTTCCAAACAACCTCGCAGGCTCTCCCTGTGGTTGCTGGTAATGACATGGCAAGAAGCACAAGGGGGAATCGTAAAAAAACAAGGACTTAAAAGACAGGTTGACTAATGCAGATTGAGCGGACAAAGTGCAGTTTGAATTCAAGTCCAAATTTAGATAAAGAAGTGGTTAAACCTTCTCTCACCTGTCACCATAACGCTGAACCTCAAGGGTGACACGTATTGCAACTCTGAAATACTGTCTGCCACCATACTGTAATTTGTGAGATTTTAGAAGGTCAGTCATTTCCTCATTCCTAAATTCCATTTGCTATTCTGGTACTGTACAACACCTGCTGCATCGGTTTTTAAGTTGTTATCCTTGACGTTATCAGCACTGTGCTCATTACACAGGAATACAACACGTGAGAAGAGAAGGTGTACACACACTTCTCTTACCTTGCCTCACTTATCAGATATCAGCACTTATTATTGTAGCATGTTGGATGGTGGCTTCGTTTTCTAACATGCTAACCATGACAACTTGTATTACTTATTCCTGTTTCCCTGCTACTAGTGATCTGCATACTATCAGAAATAAAGCCAATTTAGCATTTATTCAGTCACTCATGGACTTGATGTACAAAGAGAAGCCGCCCAGGTGCAGTACTCTTTTCTACACTGAAAATATAAAACCTTATGGACATCTTTCAGTTTTGCATGATCTATATCTCAACTATCTCTTACTCTTCCGTTTCTCTTTGTTTGCAATTTCTCTTTTCTGATTGCTATAAATTCAATGAGGGAAATCCACACGGGATAAAAGCTTTTAACTGGATTCTCCACATCAGTGATTCATGAAAGTAGTGAGGTGCCCAGTATCCATGGCGGGAGACACCTCTGCGTTCACATCTGTGATTTCCTCAGACAATAGTCTCCCCTCATCCCATCGACTGCGAGTGCTTACGCAGCACAGTAAATATTATTGATTTTTTCATTATCCACCACCGGCAATCATGTTACTCCTCTATGTTTCAACAATGATAGCTTGCACTCACTACCCACCACACAGTCACTACAATTGCAAAGTGCACACTGAAACATCTTTGATGTACATTAAAAACAATGAGGATGACACACTTAAAGGAGGTGACTTTTCTTCTCCATATGAGACATATATTTAATGCTATCTTTATTTAGCTGTTTCAGTGGAGCTCAAATCCGCATTACAGCTTTGTTTAAAGTCCCTTTGGTAGTAGTCTCTATTAGAGAGACTAGTTATTGTGTTGGGGATAATCCCCTTTGTGTAGGGCGGCTCACTAACTGTAGTTTATCAGTATGCAGGCAGAGAGGGTACCATCAAACTGAGCAACACACTCATTTAAAAACCAAATCTAAATCCCCAAAACATGTTGGACTGAGATACACGTATGCAACATTGTAGGACCTTTTTTTTAAGCCTAGTCTAGTAGTTTTGGTATTTCTTAATATTAGGAGACACATCTTACATACGGGTAGACTAGGAACTAGAGCTTCTTGGAAATAAATCCTAAACTGATGTCATACTGGTGCGTCATGCTTCTTCTCTTCTTTCCCTGAGTCACCCTCTCCCACCCATAAAATTCGCAGCCTGAAGTATGGATTCTTCCTCTGCCAGCAAATAAATTACATTAGTGCAGCAAAGCAACATGAGCAATAATGTCCTGTTCTGTTGTCTCTGTTCTGAGTCATTCAGCAAGCTGATCACAATCAGCAAACAGGGCAGAAATATGTTCATAACATACCCCTCATCCCATCAAGCAGAACCAGAGTAATCAGGGCAGCTGCTGTGAGCTGGTCTTTGTTTATTAGCTCTCTTGATGGCTGCTGGCTCACGAAGACTGTTGACATTATTCTGCCCTTGATTCCAGATACTTCCTGTTAATTCGACAGTTTTTCCGTAAAATGCCCCTCTGGAGTTGGAGATTTAAATATTCACCGAAGTCTACATGTTATCAAATCAAATGTTTTCTAGTTTGACACAGAGTTAAGATACTGGCTGAACTCCTTTTTCACCAAAGCCCTAAAAGATGGAGCTAAAATAGCTCTCATGTCTGCAACACACGCACACACACACACAAACACACACAAACACACCCACACACACACACACCTAGTTGGTGTCAAGTTTAGCCAGTCAGCTGGTGACATGTCAAGTCCAGAGAAACAACATGCAGCCGAGGTAATAGAGGGGATGGGGGAGGAAGAGCGAGGGGAGGATTAGTTAGTTTTACCGTTGCAGAACTGTAGCAGTGATGAGGTGTCATACAAGCTGCTGTAGCTGGAAAAGCCGTCCTCCATTCTCAACCTCTGCTCCGCTCCTGTGTGCTCCCTCTGTTTATCCACAGCTCCTTCGCCCTCCCCTTTCTCTCTCTCCCGTCTCTCTGGTGACTCCCTTCTGTTAGTTTATCGTTCACTTGGCGTCCAAGGCGATCCCTCCATTCACTCTGCACGGGTCAGGCTCCCTGGGTGAGTTACCATGGCAACCCATTCACTCCGATTATGTCATGTGAACTCCAACCCTTTTTCTTCTTCTTCTTCTTCTTCTTCACCCCCTTCTAACAAAAAAAAGTCCTGAACTAGATCAGAAAACACTCCCTGCTGAAGAATGACTGCACCGGACCGCCGGAGAGACACGGAGACAGAAGTTAGGAGGCTGCTGATGGGTTTGTTTCCTCCACTGCTTGTCCTCTCCTCCTTCCTGTCCTCTCTTCCCCTCCTTCTGTTCTCCTCTTGTCCTTCTGTCTTCTGCAGAGGCAGCTGTGTGTCGTTAGCGCTCGCTGATCTCCAGCAGAAAAACAGCTTTAAGAGTGCTTGAGCTGAGAGCGCAGGCTCTGGCATAGGCAGTTACTGTGTGTGTGTGCGTGTAAATGTGTCAGTGTGTGTGTGAGTGTTTAGATAATGCTCGGGACAGCCCAGCCTTCCCCTGTCACACAGTGGGGACGAGTCAGAGCACAGGGGGCTGGGCCTGTCGGTGAGATCCTCCTCCTCTGGCGTGAGAGGAGAGGAAATGAGAAGGGAGGAAAGGATAAAAGAGGTGAGGAGAAATGAGGAGAGAGGACAGAAAGAGAAGGGGGGGAGGTAAAGGAAAAAAGATATGAGGACAAGGTAGGTTTATAGAAGAACAGAGAGGAGAGCCAAAAGAGGAGAAAGGAGAGGGAGGAGAGGAGAAAAGGGGACAGGACAAGGTAGGAAAGGAAATAAGAGGAGATGTCAAAAGAGATGTCAGGAGAAAACGGGAGAGAGGAGGGGAGGAGTGGACAGAAGAGGTTAGGAAAGGAGTAGAAATGAGAAAACGGGAGAAAAGAGGACAGGAGAGGACAAAAGAGGTAAGATGAAATAAAAAAGGAAAGGAGCTATCATCATAAGCTATCGTCTGTTGCTTCTGCACTTTACAATACTACTGGTGGGAAGTTCTATTAAACGAGATCTTGTATCGTCTGATTTGTGTTGAGTATTCTTGTTTTTATAATTGATGTGTTTGTGGAGTGCTTGGCTCATCCTGGCTGCATACATCATTTTCACTAGTGGGACAATAAAGCTGAACTGAACTGAAGAGGTAGGGTATAGCAGATGTGAAAAATGCACAAATGAAGGAAGCCAAAACAAGGGTTAGTTACAAAAATGACTAAAGCACTGTCGGCCCCGTCAGTCAATATACAGAGTTACACATACACATACTGTTTGTAATGGTATGGAGTCACATGGGGACACACCACAACAAACCACACTCTCACATCTTCCTTGTCATTTCCCGCAGCCAAACATTCAAAATTGAACACTGCCAGGGGATCTCCGCTGTGGCTAAACATGGTTATCGTTCAGTCCTCTGCCTGGCTTATCTGCCCCGCTGCAGACTGCACAGAGGCAGAGAGATCCTTGAAACAAGGACAAGAGGGGGAGAGAATGAAAGGGAGACTAGGGGATTGAGGAAAGAGAGAAATAAATGGGATAGAGGGGGAGGGGGAGGGGGATGGAGAAGAAAAAGAGAGTGCTTGAGGAGGGTGGGTGGTACAAAGAGAAGGACCAAATTAAAAAGTGAGCAGGGTGGGAGTTTTGTGGGGAGAAAAGGGGGATACCCTAAAAAAAATTCTAACTGGGGGTTTTGTACGTGCATTATTTATAGTTCAAGCTAGCAGGGAAAAATAACAAGCCTAAAGAGTCCGTGGCCTATATTCATACGTGAAACATTCCCCCCTTTCTTGCTAGATCACAAGACAAAATAACACAAAGGCAGGGATGCTCTGAAGACAGCAGTGGGAGAGACCATGAAGGGATCATACATTGTTTCTCTCAGTGTTTTATAGTGGCACAGCAGGTGTGATATAATGCGTCTGTATGAAGCTCTTTCTGTGCAGGTATCTCTCCTAAAATCCTATCAGGTTGAAAGGTGACCCGGCTAGTTTTGACCTTTAACAGGAGGATGAAAGGATGCAGTGAAGCACCTTATAACGTTTGACCACTGTAAGGTTCAAGGCCTCGATGTTTTTGACCTCAGCCCTTGTATTCTGTCCCTCAGGAACACACTCTGCTTCACTTATTACACAATGACATCAAGCCCCTACCACA